TCCGGTACTAACCTGTGAAGTTGGCGCCTTGATGCAGGTACCTCGAAGATGAAGCTGGAGCTATGGCGCCACAGGTAAGTCTCTCTGGCCTCCGCCAGCCATCTCTCTCTCCAACACTTCTCTACTCCTACCATTGTCCAGCACTGAAGACTACCACTACCGCTACTAGCACCCAGCGCTAACTCTACTCCTGCAGCGCTCCTCCAGAGTGCTGCTGCAGAATCCTGAAGACTACTCCTGCCTTCTGCCTCCTGAACTGCACGTGAAGTGCCTGGCCAGTCCCTATGAAGTACCCCCTTCCTACAGGGCGGGCCAGTCTTATATAGTGCTGGCCCGTCCAGGAGGCTGCTCTTGCCAATTCCCAAACGTGCTAGACCCTGAGGAAGCTTCCGGGAGGCCGCTCTTGCCAATGCCAGAACGTGCTAGCCCCTGAGGAAGCTTCCGGGTAGTTTCCAGGTAGCTTCTGGCTAAAGACTGAGGGCCTTTAGGCCCTTGTTTTTAGGCTTGTCAGGCTGAACCGACCCAGGGCCTGTAGGCCCTCGTTTTCAGGCTGTCAGTCTGACACGACACAGGGCCTGTAGGCCCTTGTTTTCAGGCTGTCAGGCTGAAACGACACAGGGCCTGTATGCCCTTATTTCCAGGCTGTCAAGCTGAACCGACACAGGGCCTGTAAGCCCTCGTTTTCAGGCTTTTAGGCTGAAAACGCTAGTCGGGCCCTGCAGGCCCGTGTGGCTGCACATTATGCCACACTAACTCTTCTTCTCGCCCACTTCGTCTTCGGGCTCACTGCAGACCACCTCGCACAAGTAACTGTGGCAGCGCTTCCGCATGGCTCACGCAGGAATGAATGAAGGGCTGGGCGCTGCCCTTTGATTTATACTTCTGTAGCTCGTTGGTCTGGCCCTTTCCCATGCCCGTAAGGAATGAATGAAGGNTTTCCCATGCCCGTAAGGAATGAATGAAGGGCTGGGCGCTGCCCTTTGATTTATACTTCTGTAGCTCGTTGGTCTGGCCCTTTCCCATGCCCGTAGTGCACACAGTCCCATACGGTACTTGCTTGACTGGACTAGGACTGACTGGGACTGGGACTGCTGACTCAGCACGGGTAGACTCCACCACTTGCCCACTTGCCTCAGTCTAAACGTGAGCAGCTTCGAAAGGCCACTACTAGGACTTTCTGGAAACTTTAGTCCTGGCCTTTCGGACACTGTAGCGGCTACGACCTTGACCTTTCCGGACTGTAACAGCTACGACCTTGACCCCTCAAAAACCCTACAGCTACGACTTCTACAACTTCGTAAGACCTCTACTCGACAGGTCTACAGATCGAACCCCTACCTCCTACAGACCCTACGACAGTCTACCAACTGTGGGAACAGACGCAGGTCGTGGGTTCGACTCCTGGGGTCGACGCAGGTAATGTACACAGGTAAGGTAAAGTCTAGGGATCGAGCCCTGGGATCTGCATTCGCTACTGCTAACAGGTGAAAACCGTTTCACTCCCGCCGGCCTAAATTCGAGGTCCTCCGAGAATAACTCAGTCTAAGGCAGGACCTTTACCTTTCTTTCTTTTCTTTTTTTTTTTTTTTTTTGAAACACCCCAAGTAGTTGCTAGTGATGCTGATAAGAGCAGACACCACTAGCAAACTGGGGGAGGCTCCATCTATTGGTGGGGAGCATCACCTGCTGGAAAACGGGTCCAGTGTCTCTCTCATAGGCTCTAACTACGTCGGGAGCTGTTTTTAGAAGTTATGTTCTAGTAAACCAGCGGTCGTCCTCTGGTTCCCGATAAGCAAATCGGACCTTATACTGTTTTTGTGGACAACCCCTACGTCCTGTTCTGAGCACGTCTTCACCTACAATGCCATCAATGTCATACCTTTCAGCCATGTATGGAGGGAGCATGGATCTTCTAGAAGGAAACTGTTGACTTGTAACACATGGCAACAACTTCAACGCGTGAAACAAAGGGTAGGTGTGGAGGTGTGCTGGTATCTCTACTGTGTAGGACTGCCCATCCTCTCCGGCCTTGACTTCTAGAACTGGCCACGGTCCTCTATACGTGGGCAGTAACTTCTGTGAGATGTTCTCCTCAGTAGCAAACTCTTTGGACTTGACCCAGACCAGGTCGCCCACTTGAAACTGTGACGGGCGACGATGCTTATTGGCCTGTTCTATCATTCTGTGCTGGGCCTTCCTGAGGTTCTCCACAACAGTAGCTAACTCTTTCTCATGCTGCATCTCAAACTCCCTAGTACCGTGCGGTAGCTTATGAATCTGGTCCCGGTTAAGTCCCTCGAATGGTCTACGCGGTCTAAAGGACTTGTGCAACTCATTGGGAGTGCGGCAGGTGGACAAATGCACGCTATTGTTATATGCATTGGCTACCTTGGGCAACATCTTGTCCGAGTTGGGTTGATCTGGTCGAGTGTACACGCGCAGAACTTGTTGCAGGATCTTGTTCATTTGCTCAGTCTGACCGTTAGTCTCTGGATGACGACCAGATGACATCAGCAACTTTGACCCATAGACTTTCATCAGTTCTT